GTTGGATAGTGGAATGCGATGTGCGGAATCCAAATTGGTGATCAGGGATAATATGATTAGAGTCTAGGATGGGATACAGGCGTTTTAGAATGAGTTTTTCCAGGATTTTGCCCATGGTAGGTAACAGAGAAATAGGACGGTAAGAGGATGGGTGTTCGGGTGGTTATTTAGATTTGTGTAACATTTTTACAATAGATATTTTCCAAGAATCAGGGAAATATGTGGATCGGAGCACAGCAATTTATATGTAAGTGAGGAATAGGATGGCTTTCCGAGGAAGAAGTTTTAGGATCTGGGAAGTGATAAGGTCGTGTCCAGGAGCTTTTCGGGAAGGTAATCTGTTGATGATATTAGATATTTCCGAAGGATGAAATGCTTTAGATGGAAGAGTCATTTGGAGTGGAATATCCAGTTCTGCTTCAATACATTCAATTTGATGTGGATTAAGGATATCAGGATGTTCTTCCTTCAAATAATTTCAAATAACGATTTCGCAAGGAATGCGTCAACTTATGTTCCATGATACGCCTATATTTTTAAAATGGTTTGTTCCATTTAGGACTTCGTTTAAGGGAATTCGTGGAATAAGATATTAAAGATCCAGTATAAATTTCATGTGCCTAATTTTGAATAATGCAATGACTGTAAAATTATATTTTATTATTATTAAAATTGTATTTATACCCAGCAGGCACTGGAAGAGGTTATATTTTTCTGAGGATGCATAAAATTGTCTTGATAAATTTGTAACTAATAAGGAGAGGTTATGGGCTTGGGGTTACCTATTAATAATTGAATTAAACGAATTATAAGGTGTAATAAATTACAAAAACCTTTCTGGTCTGTGCATTTTTTTGCATATTATAGCCCCCCCTCCCTTAAATTTATAAAATTGTTTGTGTAGATAAGTGGAACCATGTCAAAGTTGTTACAACTTTGTAGATTATCGAAAAAAATATGTTAGGCCGCAGAAAATAAAAACATAAGAATAAAACATTTATTTTACATATTATACACATGTTACACCATGAAATATATTTTTGGGGATATAAAAAGATGGTATTATTTTCAATTAATATAAAATTTAAATTATTCGCTCAAAATTACATCATGGTGTAATATGTGTATAATATATAAAATGCATCCTATAGTCTTATTTTCGGGCTGAATCTCAACAAACTACTAGATTTCGTACATATTATCTTATTTTTGATACCCGACCAGGTTAAAAAAAAATATATATATTTTGCATACAGCTATAATTTGTATTCAATATTGAAAAAAATAGTACTGACCTAAGCAGTAAAGTGGTTATAAATATTTTTTTAAGGAAAACAAAGTTGGGATTTTTAATTACGAATTTTTACGCCAATCGAAAAAAAAAAAAATATAATCGTATGTATTTACAAAACAAAACTTGTATACTCTATACTTTATATAATTTTTTTTTTTTTTGGCTCCTACGGCGTATTGGCAAGAAACCTCAGACAAAGGTATTATATTTTTCGACCTAGTGTCACCAAAAAAAGTTTCATTGAAATTTGTGACCCCACGACTGTAACATCCTCTTATAACATTTTTGGCTTTAATGAAGTTATTGGTATTGAAGATTTAAGTTTTTTTTTCAAGTTTAATGATTTTATTGAGTATTAATACGGTCTGTCACAATGAAGGACATTAGTACTAGTATAAATAACTAAAGCAAAAAGAAAAAAAATATATATATATATATATATATATATATATATATATTTACATAAATAAATAAAAAGATAAATTAATATACAAGATTAATAAAATAATAGATTAAAGCCGAATGATAATAAAATACATTCACACATATGTACACACATCACACATCTGAAATTTTATTGAAGTATTGAATTAAAATTATTGCAGATAAGCGCTATTATCATTGTTATTCGTCAGAAATCGTTTGAACAAGCAGATGCGTCATTTGTTTCTGATTTATGTAACATAATAAGACGTCATCAATCTTTCTTCCTTTTAATATCCTTATTTATATACTATACTATATTGTGCACCAATATTTTATTTATATTAAACTTAAAAATATTTCCTTCCTGATATACATTTTAGGTTTTATGTAACAATGTCATTAACAGTTTTGAATTCAACCATTGAGGCGCTGTCATTGGAACCTTCATATGTTAGTCATTTCTCATGTTTTACTATGTTTTGAAGCACTTAAACTTGTTTGAAAAAAAAAATAACGTAGATAAAATGTTCTCGTATAAACAATTTGAAATGGGTTTCTTTATTAGCTTTACTCTCATTTCCTATTAAATTGTTTAAACATTAAACCATTCCTTTGGTATTAGTCATATTAGTACCCGTGCATAGAGCCAAAAATAAAAAAAAAATCTTTCCTGCTTTGGCTTCCTCATTTAGGAGACAAAACACGATTCAGTCTCTAGGTAATGTAAATATTGTACATAGTTGTGAATGTGATTTATTTATATAAATTTCATTCTGCTTATAGGGAGTGGGGTAGCTCAGTGGTAGGGTACTGAGCTTCGTATGCTAAGGGTTCCAGGTCGATACCCGGCTCATGACAGAAAATTTATTTATCTGTTTCATTGGCCCTGGAGCGACCCTGGGTCGGGAGACCCTCCTGGGGCACACCCAGCCTCTATAATGTGGGTACTCTTAATTAAATAATTAATTAAGGGGAAAAACCTGGCGGTTGAGCGTGATCTTGGTCAAATAACCTCCTTGCACAACCGTTGACCTAGAAATAGTGCTTTCCCTAAATAGTACTGAACCCAAGACCCTTCATGGGTTGTAGTAGTACAGGTTCATTCTCCTTATATTATTTTATTTATCTTGTATATATGCATATTATTTTTCTTTGTCTTATTTAATTTAATTTTTTTATTTTCTTTATTTTAGTTATTTACTATATTTTTCACTTGTATTTTCTATATTTCAGTTATTCCTATTTTATTTATCTTTTGTATGTACGAATGTGAATGGTTACTGTAACCCTAACACTAATGCCCTTCAATGTGGCATGTTGTATTAATACTCAACAAATCCGTTTTAAAGAAAAAAAAAAAAAAAAAAAAAACATCCAACTTCATTAGCATTGAGATAGAGTCTTTGTTACAATGAAATATGTCTTTTTGTTGTATTTGTGACAAAAGCATGTTATCACTAAAATATTTATCAGATTTTTGTTTTTATTATCTTATTCATTTTATTTGAAACCTCTGGATATATTTGTTTATATAGAACAATGGAGGTCTCCTCAACCTCTTACGGGTCATTTTAGTTCTATATTAAATCAGATGAAATTTAACAACAATTTTTTTTTTTTTTTTTTTTTTCTGTTTATTGAGTAATAATACATTTTGCCACACTTAATGGCACTGAGTACTAAGGCTGAGTGAGACACATTCATACCATATATACAATACATAAAAAAAAAAAAAATAATAAAAAAATAAATGAATAAAAAATATAAAAATCTATAAAACAAAGGCAAAAACTACAATAAACCAAGGAAATGTAACTTAAAGTTAAAATTAAATGAAATACAGAAATTCGTAAAGAAATTAAATAAATTATAAGAAATAAATAGAAAAACATTCATACTTAAATACTATATTTACAATTAGGTAAGAGATCTCCGAGTCCAGCCCTTTCCCCCACGTGTGAAGGACAAAGCGAGACTCTAAGAGATCCCAGCGCTTCTCTCTCAACCGCGTTGCCGGCATTACCAGTCCGGTGGAGACAACAAAAAATTGAAACCATAAAATATTTAAAACATTGGAATTTCCAAAAAAAGAGTAAACAAAATTTAAATTTTGTTTTATAGGTGCTTTATTTGAAGAAATGTAAAACAATCTATTGTCAATTTGGTTGCTTTTTTTTTAAATGTCATTTATATCATTCTCCAATTCAACGTCATTTCGTATACATCAAATTCAGTCGAAATGTGTTGGACTGTTAAATTGAGACACTGAGGGGGCGTCCCCTTTGTCATTAGGTGCTCATGAGTTAGCCGTGAGTGACCGATTCGTAGCCTTGTCAGTATTATTTCTTCTCTTCTATTCAAATAGAGGTCTACTCGCTTTGGCACTACAGAGGGCTCGATCACTCTCAACTCATCCAGAGACCCTGCCATTTCTCCAGAGCCTTTCTCTTTGCCAAAGCTACTACTTCTTTTGGAAAAGCATCCCCTACTGGAGTTCCTTCCGTGATTAATTGGTTTGCCATGATATCGGCTAGCTCATTGCCTCCAATACCTGAGTGACCCGATAACCAGAAAAATTGTATCTTACATCCTACACTCTCCAATGTTTTTATATGCCTCACTGTGTCTGTGTCTAATGAGTTATTTGGAAATGAATTTTTAATAACTTTAAGAGCAGATCCTGAATCTGTACAAAAAATAAATGCATTGTAGGAAGTGCAATAAGAGGGTAATGAGAACATTTACACATTGCACACTTTCGATATATAATATACAACTTATCATTAATTTATTTCATAATTAAAATTTTAGTTATGCTTAAATGAATTATTGATAAAATATATAAATATGTACTATTTATTGAAGAAATAATTAACAATTTCACATTTTAATCAGTAATACAAAATTTGTATAAATAAACTCTGAAATAGTTTGATTATTAACTAAAGAAGAAATAAGAAATAGTAAAGTGGGAAAGGAAAATATCGAAGAAACACGAGCGTGCACCCGAGCTTGCCCGAAAGATTAGGATAAGCTTCAAAGAGCTTGTGCTGACATATTTTAATATTTATTTCTAAAGAATACAGTAAAATAAAAACAAATGTTAATGTGTCACTGCTCAAACAAATACAAATATACAGAAAGAATCCTTTATCACTAGCGTTATTGTCAGATAAAAAAAAAAATTGTAGTACTAAATTATTTATTTATGACACTTATAAGAATAGATAATTTAACAATATAAATACTTTTTTCGTATCATTATTGCACAGATGAAAATATTTAGTGTAGAATGTCTGCTACAATTTAATCTTCGAAATTTAAAGAACAAAATTCAATAATTTAGGGCAAAACTATAATGAATAAGCGCATGAAGGTGAGTGAAGACCAAGTCCAAACAATATCAGTTGAAAAAGTTAATTTATTATGTTGATTCCAGAATATACTTATATTTATTGCAAATAAATATGGTTATCTTTTCAAATATTGTACATCAAAATTGTGTTGTTTGCTGTTATTTGAATTGAGGAATCGTTTGTAGATTTTCGGTGGTGGAGATATGACTTCAACTATGGGCCTCGGTGGACAAACTGTTCCTGTGACTAACAACAACATGAAAGACTTCGATGTAGCGTTGCCTCCTGAGGACACTGTTTCTTCGCTGGCTTTCAGTCCTCCGAATATGAACCAGACACTTCTGGTCGCGGGTTCTTGGGACAACAACGTGAGATGTTGGGAAGTCGAGGCGTCAGGTAAGACCATTCCAAAATCGATCCAAACCATGCAAGGACCGGTTCTTGATGTCTGTTGGATAGATGACGGTTCCAAAGTCTTCATGGCGGGAAGCGATAAAATGGCAAAGTGTTGGGACCTCTCGACCAATCAGTCTTATCCAATCGCATCGCACGATGCCCCCGTCAAGATCTGTCATTGGATAAAAGCACCCTCATACTCTTGCCTCATGACTGGATCCTGGGATAGAACACTTAAGTTCTGGGACACACGGAGTCCTCAACCAATGCATTGCATCTCTCTTCCAGAACGCTGCTACTGCGCCGATGTGAAATATCCGATGGCTGTAGTCGGAACTGCTTCAAAGAACATAATCATCTATCAACTTGACTGCGGTCCACAAGAATACTCCAGACCGGATTACCCTCTAAAATTACAGATGAGGTGTGTATCGATATTCATGAATAAAGAAAACCGACCAACTGGATACGCTGTTGGGAGTGTCGAAGGCAAAGTAGCCATACAGTACATCCATGAACCAAGTAGCAACTTCACTTTCAAATGCCATCGAACGGAATCCCCTGGAGGATGTCAAGAGATTTACGCTGTGAATGATATCGCGTTCCATCCTGTCCACGGTACGTTGGCGACGGTGGGTTCTGATGGAAGGTTCATTTTTTGGGACAAAGATTCTAGGACGAGGTTGTACGTGTCGGATTTTAAGGAGCAGTCTATCAGTAAGTGTGCCATTTCTAACAACGGCCAAATATTCGCTTATGCGGTTGGGTATGACTGGTCTAAAGGGCACGAATACAATGATTTGACAAAAAAAAGTAACGTTTTCTTAAGGCCTTGTTGTCAAGAACTTAAGCCTATGCTTGCTCCACGTTACAAAATATAAAGTGTACATTTCTTTTGCGTTATAAATTATGAAAACTAAAACTGCACTTACCTCCTACTTATTTTTTAATTCCATCGATTAAGAATGGAGGAATCTTTCTAGACATACTGTTCCCTTACTTCTTGTTCCCTCAATACCCTAGCGTACAACAAGGTAGCGTTTTAAGCCCAATTCTCTTTTCTCATGACATTGTTACTACTAAATAACTTTGTTACTACTAACGAAGTGGTACTCTTTCAGCCATCTTGGTTGATGCCAGGTTATCCACTATGTTTCAGATAAGGCTTACAAGAGATAGCGCCACTATTGCGAAGTGGTGTCTACAATATATACACAATGTCCGCGAAACGAATTTTTTATTATCAAAAGTATCGATAGACACTATTATTTATTTTCTGAGCTGTCCTAGCGATTTCACGGCGTTTTCATTTTAACAGATTTTACTTTCACTTACGATCGAGAAAATTTTCGAATATTAGTTTTCTACGGAAATACATGGTTTGAGGTCCCCTGAGTCGAAATTACCAAGTCACTCAAAATGGTCTGTTTGTGTGTGTTAGACCGTTAAGTCTACCTCAAAAAGTTTGAGGTATGTTTGCATGTTTAAGGTTTTTATATGCTTGGGATGTTACAGCAACTTTTTCGTCAAATTCGGATAACTGGAAATAGCACTTTATATAATGAACTAAATTCATTTTTACGATTTTCTCGAAAACGGCTCCAACGATTTTGATTTTTTTTGTATCAATGTAAAATTAAGCAGATTTAAATAAAATGTAGGTCTTATTGTGATTGATGTTCTTTGGCAGAGCTTAAATGGTTAATTTTCAATATTAACTTCCTCTAAAGTAACTTTATTTCTTTTACTTTCCTACCTATACTAGGTAACGAAAGTATTGCAATCGAGTCAAATTTTCGATATGCGGTTTTCGACGGATCTATACGTTTCAGAGCCCCTGAGTCCGAAAAACACATTTTTAGCCATTGGTTTGTCTGTCTGTCTGTGTCAAGATTTTCTCGGAAACTACTGAACCGATTTTGTTGCTTTTTTTTTTTTTTTTTTTTTTTTTGTATGGTTTGGACTACTAATGCCTGTGACAGAAATTCGGTACTCCGTGTGCAATAGCTTGGGCCCAATAAATGAAAAACTGAAGAACACGTCTTTTAATAGACTGAAGCGGAAAAACGGCTCTAACGATTTTGATGAAACTTTCCTATAATGTTCTATTACATATGTAGTATTAGTATTTGCCTTTTAATTTTCGTATATGGACTATATTCCCGAGAAAATACAGGAAAAAAAGTTATAAAGCAAAGAAAAATGTTATTAACTCCTAACTCCCTAAGTATAAATATCCTGGTGTGAGAAAGGGGTGGATGAGATAAAAAATATGACTAAGTGAAAGTAAGGAAATCTGTTGCCCGCATCACACTGGAAACAAGCTTCACTATTTCTTTTAATTTTAACAGAAATTATTGTTTGACAATACCAAGAGATGCCAAAATTTTTTTATTAGCAATATTAAGAAGTATTGAAATTTTTACAATGATCTACCTTAAGCCGGTTTACATTGCTATAATTTATCAAATAGATCGTACTCAAATATTTTCTTTGATCAATTTTAGAAAAATAAAACTAGTTAAATTTTTTTTTGTTTCTTTATGAACTTATGTAAGGATATAAAAACGTTTCTGAAAAATGTAGGTAAGTCGTCTGAGTAGACACACCAGACGTCTAAACAAATGACCATTTCATATTAATCTATAATATAATAAAAAAACTCCTACCCTCCAGTTTATATTGACAATAATCTAATTCCTCAAACGGACACGGTACTTTACCTTGGACTCACCTTCGACAGAAGGATGACATGGACTCCGCATGTTAAAATGAAACGTAACACACTTAACAAACGATTCAAACTACTTTACACTCTTTTTTAAAGATCTTCAAAACTAAAACTAAAACAGAAACTGAATATATATACATACTTACTCAAACCCATATGGACGTATTCATCACAAATATACGGTATCGCTAAAAAGACCCATCTACAAAAACTTCAAACGTTTCAATCAAAATTATTGTGACTCATAACAAAAGTCTCTTTGTTACGTGACTAACAAAACTACATACTGACCTCCACTTTCCAACAGTTGACCAACATATAACGCCCCTTTGTCAACGATTTTACACAAATTTAAATGGACATAATAACAGAATTATAAGAGACATGGCCACAGCTGACATACCTCAGAACATGAGGAGACTAAAAAGGCGTTGAATGAAGGATCTCCTTCCTTAGACAACCTAAGTAATTGGAACAAGTTAGGGAAGAGGTACTGCTGAGTACTTTCCTTCCCCATGCCTGTCATGTCATTATATCATGTATCAGCCATCACATTTGCTGATTGTCAACAATAAGTTGACAGGCGCAAATATATTTTTGATAGACAAAAATAAAAATGCAATATGAAAGAATTTGATAATTAAATAATGGAGAAATTAGAATAACGGAGAATAGTTGTAATTCACTAACCAAAGGAATACGAGCCCACCTGAGATCAGCCCGAAAGATTATAATTCGCTTCCATACGTAATATGAGCTTAATATAATAAGGACTGCGACAATATTATGTAAATATACACCATCGGTTTTCATAAAATCTATTTTCAACTATTTTTACAATTTAGTCATATTTAAAACATTACATACTTCATCATGTACCTGTCCTTTTCAACTTATGCGAATTGCATGCGTCTACTCATGTAAAAAAAATATATTTTAGTCATGTCCACCTATAATTATTTTATAACATTATTATTACTCAATTATTTATTAATTAATGATTCAAATAAGTTAAAATTACCTTATGTTGTGTCACCGACTTCTCATCAGCCTCGTTTCAGTTTCGTGACTGGTTATTCTTAAAGGAGTAGGGGAAGACTATTTATTTTAAACATATACAATGATGTTTGCCAATATTATATATGGACCTATTTTAAGTAAAATTAGCTAATTCATTTCATATTTTTATTTTTTCAATCGAACTCGCGTAAAAGGTATTATTATATTCATATTATCCACGCCTGTATGATTATTTACAGAGTTTTTTAAATTTTTAGCTATGGATATTGCTTCTTTTATTCTACGTTTATTCATATTACTTTCACTATGTAGGATTTTGGCGTTTTTGAAATCAAATTCATTTTTAGCTTACATAGTATGTTGAGAGAGCCCAGTAACTAATTTAATTTTTATGTTTTTTGAATTACAATTTTGTTTGTGCTGTTTAAGTCTTTCTTCAAACCATTGTGATGTCTGCCAATATATGCTTTGTTGTTGCAATTTTTACAATTTATTTTATAAATAATCGTTAATTTATCGGTGGGTATTTTATCTTTAGTTTTGGAATAAATTGTATCGATTTTATTAATAGGTTTGATTGCAAATTTAATTTCATTTACATCATATTGTTTAAATGTTCTTTCTATTTTGTCAGTTAAATTTCTAATATATGTGACGCTAAAATATTTTTTAAGTTGTTTGTTTTTATTATCATTTATGGAAGGTTTTTGTTTTACTGCATTTTCGGTTTTAAAATAATTTGTTATTAAATTCGGTTCTTTATTAATTTTGTTATTTGGTTTTCATTCTCGCTTTTATCATCCCTAATATCTTTTATCGCTTTATTACTATTGTCATTTTTAACCAACTTTTTATTTTTATACCACAATTTATTTATTAATCGAATGGGGTACCAATTTTGTAATAGCATTTCATGTATTTGTGTTTTGATTTCTTTCATATGATTTTTATCGGTTATTAATTTTGCATTGTCTATTAAATTTTAGCTGTATTAATTATTATATGTTTTTTGTGGTTGCTGTGCCAATTAAGGATTCTATTACTGGTTATTGCTTTTTTGCACCATGACGTGCTAAGATCGCCACTTTTGCTTCTGTCTTTATACATATCACAAGATATCTTATTTTGTTGTTATTCTCACTTTCCATTGTGAATTTAAGTTTATCTGATATATCATTTAGTTTATCAAGATTTTTTATTTTTTAATCTGCATCTTAGTTTTAATTATGAAAATGTTATGAATGACTTATATATTGTGTAGTTATAAATATAAGGATCACGAATGTAGTCATAAATATAAAGACCATTTTTCTTCTTTATTATGACTATTACCATATATCAGTTATCAGACAGAGAACTGACATGAGTTTTCTTTGTGTGATCTTTATATTTAGAGAGTGGAATATTTATGCCTTGGACCAGATGTATAGCCAGCTGTAGATGGGAATAAAGATTTGCCTTATTCCCTCAGATGTGGTAGAGATTGTGACCACCCCCATTTGTATGTTTTTGTCTCTTCAGCCTGAGGACTACCTGGAGATCTTATCCAGGATTAGGCCCTCCTTTCTTCTTGGAACTCTGTGCTCTTATCCTTGTCAGATTCTTCTTGTACCTAAAAAATATAAGTTTTTAATTTAAATAATTCTGTTTACTTTAAATCATTACAACTTACAATGATTTTCGTTTTTGTGAAAAGCAACAATAGAAGTGGTGTTAAATTCAACTAAATAAAATAAGGAATAATCACTAAATACACCATGAGTCGGGATGAGCGCACCGAAATTCGGAGATCGATTTATTTAACCCGCAAATGTATCGCTATATAACCTAGGTTAAATGTATCGTTTCGTCAAATGGACGAATTATTTCTTGGTTATTTGTTCGCTCTTATGACCTATAATTCTTATATAACTGTTTATTAACCGGACCAACAATAAACAGAATCCACAATTACATCGAAATTATAAACAACCATAATAATTTTTTTTTTCTGGACTCCATGACACTCCGGAATACCAGAAAATGAGGCAGATGATAATAGCCATAGAGCCAGGGCCCAAAAATCGACCTGATCGCAGGCGAAGGTTTGATTGTAAATTACGAAAGTGTATGTTATTCTGAGTAAAAAAAATCTTGTCTGCCGTTCCAGAGCCGCTGCTTTGAAAAATGGCGGCTGAATTAAAGAATAGTAGGCCAATAATTTGAGGATCGAAACGAGAAATCCATTGCGAAAAATGTGAGAAAAGTTTCTATTTTTGTAACTTGTATATATGGGTTTAGATATGTAAAAAGCAAAATTGATAACGCGGGCCACCAAGGGAAAACCTTTTACAGCCAAAAATAGTTCAGGTTTTTTTTTGGATATATATTTTTTTTTTAACTATAACTCCTAAACGATGCATCAAAGCGAAAAATGTATTCCTTAATAAATTAGAGAACGTTAGATTTTCCGTCAAACGAGTTCATAAACTTTAAAATTTGGTTACGCAGTAAGGTATAAAACCACGGTCAACCAACGCTGAGTTTTACCAAATTTGTCAAAAACTGAGACAAATTAGTATAAATGGCCCTGTAAATTGGAAACGAGTTCCCTTAGAGGAAAAACCCATAGAATCAAAGTTGTACAGCATCGAATTTCGCGTATATTTTGAAGGGAAACTAAAACAATAGTAAGATTTTTGTGGAAAGAAAGAATTGCAGTGTCGTCAGCGAAGCTACGTGGTGGAGCTAGGCTACTCTGGGATATCAGATATGTAAAGAGAAAAGCAAAGTGGACTTAAAACACTACCTTGTGCTACATCTGCAAGTTAAGGGAAAAATGAGGAAATTGAGGAATCTACGAAGGATTTTGGATTGTAAGGATTGGATACGAGAGGAATTCGATGGCTTAGTGGAGCCTCAGAGCTCAATTCCATAAGTCCAAATAGGTCTTATTGTAGTCATGTATATGAGTCTTTTGTAATTTACTGGGAGCTTAGAGCGTTTGTCTAGTAAGTGCTGGAGTAGTAGGAAACGTCGAGCTGTTTCTTGTCGTTTCAGTCTGGTATGAGGATTCCAAGTTAGACGTTTGTCTAAGTGGAGTCCAAGGTATTGAATTTGTTCAACAGGGATAATTGGGGTATTATTAAAGGGGGACAAGAGGACATAGGTTTACGACAAAGGGTAAAGGTGATTTGATGGGATTTATTGGAATTTATTTTGATCCTCCAGTTTTGAAACCATTCTTCAAGGTTTGTGATGTGTAATTGAAGAGTTCGGAATGCAATTGTTGGGTCGTTATTAACGGATAGGACACATGTATCATCGGCATATGTGGTAATGACAGTGTTAGGATGGGTTGGGATATCAGCTGTATAAACTGTGTAAAGGATAGGACCTAGGATACTACCTTGAGGAACACCGGCAGAGTGAGGAATGAGGTAGGAACTGATCAGTAAGGTAGGAACTGATGATAAGAAAATATGAACGGGGAAGGAGCTTACGGAGTTTGTAAAGCAATCCCGGGTACCAGACTCGGTCAAACACCGTTTGATTATTAAATCGTAATAAAAACTTTTTCTTATTTTTTTATCGCCTCTTTAACTTATTTACTATTTTCGTTAGTCCTTTAGCAGCTCCGGGGCTGTTCCAAGCGACATTCGTGATCGTTTGGTTCTAGTATACTAGTATAGATTATAGGTTTATAATAACCGGACGCGATCACTAATGACTCCCTCTTCATTAGGATGGTTGACAATCCTGTATACTACACCTCTGAATCTGCCTTATTAACAATAATCCAGTACTGTGAGGTCTGGAGATCTCGGAGACCAACTGATTTTACCACTGCGACTAATCAAACGATCTGAAAACTTTGCAGTCAAATGTTTAAAATATCTTATACTCAAGACATGTTTGAAAGTTATTAGATTGAAATCCTACCAGGTCTTCATTTACATATTTAAAAATTATATAGTCGTTTTTTCTCTAACACACTTTGCGGATTATTCGTAAGGGCCAAAGAGTGAATATAAAATAAATAAATTGTGTTGTGCATAGTGCAAAAATACTAAAAACCAATCAATGAATGATATAATACTCCGAAATTTATACGTAGAAAAGGAAAGAATTAGTCTAATGAAAGGTAAGTATACTACAATTTCTCTTTAATATTTTGACTTCTCTCCTACTGAGGATAATCCCACTATAATTCCACTTTGCAAGGTTCTCTGATGCAGCATAGCCTTCTAGATTAGCATTTTAAAATTGCTATGAATGTGAATATATTCCGATGAAATTGGATCGGAAATGATCGCTGCTGCATATTGTAGAAAAGCCATCTTGATCCCGCCAATAATTTTTAGATACTACTTAGCCTTAGTGTGATTTAATGTAGAGCTTATGAGACTATAAAATTCTCGAAAGAACAGTTTAAGAGGCGATAAAGGTAAATTAATCTGATGAAACTATTGCAAGGTCTGTGTTTTTAGTTTATAAGTACTATTAGTCAACCAAAGTATTATAAGCAGTTCAGTACCGGATCTAAGCTTTAATTTTTTTAATTTTTTTTAAAGTTTAATTACTTTGGAAGAAAAAAAATAAACTACATAAAATATTACTTAAAAGGTCATTGAAAGACTGTCAAAAAATATTTTTTCATGATATTCACAACTTTATTATAATATAATACATCAAACAAATGTGTACATTAGATAATAGATCTACATAATAAGGAGATCACGAGGCCATCTTCTTTTCAAACGCCTTGCAGGGTTATCAGGAATTGAAGAGGTAGCATGGTTAGAAACGTGAGGGTTCGGATGATTATTGTGGAAGGATAGATATCTGAATTAGGCCAAATTGTAAAAAATAAAAAAACTACGTGGCTAAGGCCATAGGATAGAAGTGAAATATCAACGACACGATATTAATAATATGAAATATAACTTTTTGTCTATATATATTTTATTTATATTTACAAAGCAATAACATTTAGAATTAATATAGTTATAATTGTGTATAAAATACTTATTGTTCTATATTAAAAAAAATTATAAGATTTACAATATATACAATTATAATTGTGATCAAATTATTGTAGTAAACTTAACTCTGACTGATCATTTATAATAACTAAAATATGTGATGAATACTTTTGATTCAAATGTATTTGTTAGATATCTAACAAAATTTCTGTTATTTTTTTAAATAACTTCTCTAACGGGGGTCAGTCATTTATCGAAACTACATTGACTGCCACAAAAAAACAAATAGAAATATATAAGACTTGAGGCTTCATGCATTTTTTATTTAGAGCTGGTTACAAAGTGCATGACATGCTGAAAATTTATCTCAGTATACAGGTCAGATTTTATGTTTCTGAGATATTTAAATCCATACATGCAACAAAACTCGTCATAATTTTGCTTTAGGCGCCATTGTTTCGCTATTTGTCCCTCTGACACGGTGTTAGTTAATACACAATTTTGAATAATAGTTCATTATAATGAATTGGAAGAAGCAAACAAAACCTAGATACTGTTCTAACATTATACGATCTTGTATTGACAAAAATGTTCAATTAAAACCAGTGATCTCACGTGCATTACATCTTTTTGTAAATGGGGTAATGAGGAAACCTATGATATATGAAAAGCCGCGCTATATAATATAGTCCGCTGATCAGTGGGAGCGGAGTGGTTGAGCGAGCTAACGCGTATGCGTCTACGTCCGAAGAACATTTACTCGGCATTAATACCCCGCCTTCCCCAGTGGTCCGGTGAAATTATTTTGACATGTTAGTGGTAGTCACGTCCCACGGTCCTATAATTTTGTAGGCTACCTTTATTATCGATTTTGTGTTCAAATGTTCTTACAATTCAAGAAGAAAGCAAATGGGTGTCCAAGAGATTTTAGTACCTGTTTAAATTGCCAAAGTTTACCGATTTCCAGATTAAAAATTGAATCCGTTTTAATCTGTAGGTAGTTTTAACAGCACAATATTTATAGATTTATTTTAATATTTGATGATACATCCTCAAAATCATTACAGATACATTGTAACTAGGCACCAAATAAATAAATAGATTGATTGATTTTTTAATATTTAATTTTTGCGAAAATATTGAAGATTCATATGCTGATAAGTTGCTTTATCGCGTTGCGCTATCGCCTTATAATTGCTGACAGGTTCAATGTTTTATAGCGAAGTTATCTCGACTAATTGAGGCGACAGGAGCTTCCATCCTGATCCCATCTCATCGTAAATTACTCCAGATGATAGTGTATTCCTTCGTGTAGTAATTGAAAATAAAAATTTTATTAAGCCGTAAAGGCTTGAAAATATAAATCTAGTGGCAGGATTATAGGCCGCAATCCCATTCTTTGATAGGTAATTATGATAGTCTGAGGTAAAACTGCATTCATGAGATAATTTTTAATAAAATACAATGCTTACCTACCTTCGGTAGTTAGAAAGAGAAAATTGTATCAAAACGATTATCAAACCACTAGTGTTCGCCAAGTGGTTGAAATTTGACCATAATCATTAATGAACATTTGAGAAAAACATAAATGAGTTTGCATGTTTCCATAATTTTGTTTCTATTCTTGTTTATTGAGTATACATTCACATACACACATAATATGCATTCACTTTCATATGTACTTACAAAAGAAAGAAAAATAATACAGCGCAGTACCATGTGTGCACTTTTTTGCCATAATTTTCCATAAATAAATAATTTTCCATCATTTTAAATTTTAATTTTGAAAATCCAAAAAGACTTAGATAAAGTTGTTGGAGTAATAATTAATGCTAGCACTGGATAAATAAATGAAATAAATAAATAAAAAGGCTACTCGCATGGGAAGAGTTCTCCGCAGAATCTATAGCCCGACAGGGGGTGTGCGAACAGGGGCAATGGAGAATTCGCACTAATAAAGAACTATATGAAATGTATGCACGGTCGGATTCAGTCTCAATTTTGAGGGGAAACCAGATCAGATGGTTGGGCCATGTGGCGCGTTTGTCCCGAGACACGATCCCCAAACGCTTGCTGGAGGATCGGCCTGCTGGAAAACGTGGAAGAGGAAGACCACGGCTGAGATGGCTGGACCAGGTAGAGGACAGCATGAAAAGGATGGGAATTTGAAGATGGAGAATGCTCGCTCGGGATAGAGGAGAGTGGCGAAGGATCATAAGAGAGGCTCAGGTTCTTACAGGACCGCAGCACCAAGAATAAATAAATAAATTAAATAAAAAAAGATAAATTAATATTGTGGGTAAATGGTTGACTGTCGTGAATAATGAAGAGAAGAATAGTTGGGGTGATCAGTGAAATAAGAAGACAAAAATAAATGGTAATATTTATTTTGACATTTGCCGACGTTTCGACCTGAAGTTCAGGCCTTCATCAGGGCTGACTCCAAAGGTGTAAATCGGAGCAATCAATCCATTGCTCAATCCATCAACCCATTGCTCCGATTTACACCTTTGGAGTCAGCCCTGATGAAGGCCTGAACTTCAGGTCGAAACGTCGGCAAATGTCAAAATAAATATTACATTTATTTTTGCCTTGTTATTTGACTGATTACCCTAACTATTCTTCTCTTCATAAATAAATATTGTCTAAAAACTTGTAGGGGCCGCAACTATGTCATAGAGGCCACATACAGACTCTGAGGCCGCGGTTCCCCACCTATGGGCTACGCAATCTACGTGTTCGGATTATCAATACTATCCTGTATTATTTATTTTTCAATTTTATTATTCTCGATAATGCAATATTATTTATTTAAACTATAATTTTCACAATGTGAACTATGGGAGACTTTAGTTTAGACATGCTGGCTATTTCTGAATTAATTAGTATCCCGGTACCCAGAACCGCCGGGAATCTTGGGGTCAATGAAGTGCCAAGAAGATCCATAGGGGCACAATGATGGGAGATCGCGCTTTTAATAAGACCATCTTAATGCTAGGGCCATTAAATATGGTGCTAATTTGTGTACCCTGCGATTCACCCGATCTTATCTCACAATTATGTTTTAACAATTTGGACGTGCTTTGCATAGCAATTACATCCTGTTATTATTCAGATCCGGTTACTTTAGCTTATCAGGCACTGACTTCTGTATGAAGGGGGAAGGGCAGGAGTATTTAGAGCGCATATATACGGCCATATAAACTGGTTTGAAGAAAACTGTGCTATTATTATTTTAAGTGAAACGAAGTGACAAAGAGGGTAAGTTGATCTGTAACTATTTTTTGAGCGAAAGGCTTGGTCGATTTGTAACCCTTCTCGATAAACATTCATGTTGACCTCACAAAGATTAACGTTGGATAGCTACTGACTCCTTACTCCATAGTCACAATTTTTGGACCAGGAAAAAAAAAACATACATAATATTAATGTTCAGTTTCGTTAATTGAACATTTAACGAATGAAATTACAGTATATATACATGTAAAGTTTATACATGCGAATCATTAAAAAACCATTAGTATTTTACATCAGTCTGTTAATAATTATTATATTCATGAGAAATCTGCTTGATTACTATGAAGTCAAAGAAATAACTGATTTACATAAAATATATAAATTGAATTTGAAATTGTATGGAAGCATTTAATACTGAAATATCGAGGATAACACCCTGCCTATCCTAAGGGAATTTATTTTCATATCTGATTCAAATTAATAGTAGATAATTAGGATGATTGAAACGCGTTAATGAATACTTAAAATCGGTGCCAAACCATCGAATTTCTCTCGTATCCAATCCTTACAATCCAAAATCGTTCGTAAAATTCTCGAC